TGTCGCTGCATCTACACTAGGGAAAATTTAAAACTTTAAAAACTAATTTGTCAAGTTGGACATGAGGACGCCCTCTGCGCCCTGTACCTGTCTCTACATCTTTCCTCGTATTCCTACTTGTTTTTGCACAAAGCATGCCGCTACATAGCCTATTGCTATGAATTTAGTCAACGTTGAGGAACTGTGTCACGACACATTAAGGGAGGTGAAAAGTTCAGCAGGGACAGAGTGATAGGGGAGGATATAGATGCCAGGCGAGACATGGCGAGATGTGATGCCGGCGTCTAAGGGCACCAGCGGGTCGAGCGAGACGGACTTCTGCCCAGCAACAACGTTGAGAAAGAAGTGTCAATTACAGGCGCCGACCAGTCTACGCGTATTATGGGCTTATATGGTCTAGTTTTAGTTTTTCATATCAAGATGATTTGTTTTTTTTTTGATTGAGCGATTTGTATGAACATGTTTGATGCACCTTTGGATTTCAATGAATCTGTGGGATATGCTTTTTTGGATCATATTTCAAAGTTACAGCCCAGCGATTGGTGTTCTCCTATACCAAACGGACGCCGCGCTGGAGACGCACTCACGCATGACTTGAGACACGCACACAGTCAATCAGTTATCCTATATGCTTCGACGCCCATGTATGTACTACACGTCACACACTATGTTTAACTGGACAGGGCCTCCGCATGCCAGCCACGCACACCACACACACAGCCACGAGTCAGACACATGCAACAGCGATAAGCACAGCTGCTGCCGCCGCCAAACCCGTGCAAGAAAAAGGCTGGATGATCCATCCCACCCATACCATGCAAAAATGAAAGATGACTCCCATCTCTCTCTGCTTGGAATAATGGTGGTCTTCACTTCGCTGCCTCTCCACCACTCCGCCTCTACCTTCTTCCTCCCCTCTTTCTCCTCCTCCACGTCCTACCTCCGCCACACCTTCCCATCCCTGCCATGGCAGGCTCCCTCTCCTGCCTTCGCCACCACGACTCCGTTTCTCCATCCCTCTATTTTCCCTACAAGAACACCCCGCGCGCCATGGAGTTTGCACTGGACCTCCCCTGCCTCGCGCCGCCGCCTCATTAGCCCCGTCGACGGAGCGCGCCACCGCTAGCGGACCAGGGCGCTTCCCCCGCGGCACCTCTCTTTCTCCCTCTTTTCCTTCTCCTCCCTGGATCGTCCTCACCCCCCACGCATCTCTCTCCCTATCTGTGTTCCAGGAAACGGCCATGGCCGAGTGCCAAGCCGGATCGAGCTTTGTCGCCCTCTGCTATCCATTGCGCCAGCCAGCCTCCTCTACGCTGAGGTCCTGCAGCCATCCCACCGACTCGGATCTCGCCGGACCCGTCCGGATCGGGACCCGCGTTGCCCGTTGAGCTTGCCACCTGCGCTGTCGCTGCCTCTTCTATCGAGCACGAGCTCGTCCCTGGACTCCTCTGCTCGCGTTGACCCGAGAGAGCGAATGCCGATGACGCCCGTAGACAGCACCGTCGTGGGTGCACCCTGCACCTCCTACTCCCGCTACCGTCTGCTGCAGCAAGCCGCCGCCTTGTCTCCCCTCCTTTCTCCAGTTTTTCCTTTCCCCGTCTCCTTTCTGACAGGAGCCCAGATGCCACGAATTCGCCTAGGAAATCGTGCTCCGGCCTTAATCTTCGTCACCGGCGACCCCCTTCCTCACCGCCCGCCTCTGAATCCTCCCCAGCCCTTGCCGTGTACGGATCCGTTCGCTGCAAGCTCTAGCCGCCGCCGCCGTTCTGCAGATTGCGGGTTGAATAGACGAAAATACAGGGTCATGTTTGTAAATTCGAAACGGTTTTTTGACTTACTAAAACCGGTAGTGCGGGTTGATTTCACGGAACTATATGGGGGTTTCTGTAAATATGCGCGACGGACCACCAGAAGCATTAGGTGCTTTATTATTAGGGGAAGAGGGGAAGATTGTCAGTGATTTCAACCTTCATGGAGTTGGCCAGCGATGACGGCTCTTTTCACTATTTTGACCCTTTTAGAAAACTTTCGCACAAAATAAACTTTACACAAAACTATTTCACGATCTGACCCTTTTAGTAACGCCATAGGCCGTGACGTTTCTTCTCTATTTAGAAATGCCGAGCTAGCTAGCGTTGCTGGCCTGGTCAAGACGCTACGTGGCAGGGCAAAAACGTCAAAGTATGTTGCGTTGCTGGAAACGCCAAGGGTGCCTGGCGTTGCTGCCCAAGCATGAAACGCCAAGGGGTTTGGCGTTTCAACTAGTTTGTTCATATTGCCATTTATTTATGTGGTGCAGCACCGCTAGCTAGCTTGACGTTTATAAATAGAGACGAAACGCCATGGCTTGTGACGTTGCCAAAATGGTCAGATCGAGAAATAGTTTTGTATGGAGTTCATTTTGTGCGAAAGTTTTCTGAAAGGGTCAAAATAGTGAAAAAGGCCCAACGATGACATGGTAGAGATTTCAACCAAATGTTTGTTCTATGTCTGAACTTTTAATGATATGTTATTCTCTGTGATCATATTTTCTCATCCATGCTTTATTAAGAGTATATCATCTCATAGTTCAGTAAAATGAGAGCGCGTACAAAAAAAATCAATGAATTTCAATACGAGCACTTAGCCCTACAAATTTGATTCTAATGTGTTCAAAAATCTATCATGCAGAAAAACCCAAACTACATTTCTAACCCAATGCACCATTTTTTTTATTCTTTCTCTAATCCGCGAACATTTTTCACGATGCTACAAATCGTCACAGAATATGCACATACCTAATGACGGCCAAACACATCACCTAAAATCAGGCCAGAATATCATCAAAGTATTCGAGGGAGCTGATCCATGAGGAAATCAGTTGGTGATGGAAAATCATCACAGAAAATACGTGTTTTGGTCTGCCACTAGGATTTTCGTCACAAAATAGCACAATTTTTGTAGCGAGGAGATGAGAGTTGGACGGCGACAAGAAGGGCAAGTCATCGTTTAGAAATCGGGTAGCGGTGTGGCGTCGTTCACGAAGGCACATACAAGACGACGACACCGCGACCACGAGGCGGAGCAGGAGGGGAGCAGTGGCGGAAGGCATTGATTGACCATGCGTGGCACACTGCTGTGGGCCGGGAGGTCTGGGCAGGAGCAATGGTGCTCAGGTGTGTGGGCGGAGCAACTACGAGATTTTTCACACGATAGAGACGGGAACGTTGGGTTGCGGAGACCGAACGGGCAAAGTGCGTTTATTTTAAAATCTAATATTTGTTGTTTTTCTCTGTGGAGTGGGCTATCTCTAGTTATTACATATCTAAGTGACTCAATTAAATATAAAAAATAAAAGTAAAAGAGATACAAACACGAATCTCCATGTAAATCAATGACACGAGATTTAGATGTGTTTTAGCAAACCCGACTTTTTTAGTCTCACCGAAAATGGTGTGAGGAAGGTGGTAACCATTACAATGGTATACTGCCCTTTAATAGTACAGGTGCTTGTCTCTCTTAGAGCATCTCCAGCAGCGGCGCCAAAAGACGCGCGCGCAGTAAACTTTCACTTTAGCGCGCGGGACGTTTTGGCGTGCTCCAGCGGCGGCGGGAAACTAGCACGCGTGAGAAACGATTACACGCACGCGGGAAAAGGCAGCAGCTCG